ATTCTGTTGATCAATTCTGCAAATCCCTTTTGTAGATCGATTTTGCAGATCACTTTATAGATCCGTTTACAATACAAATATATAAAAACTAAACTAAGAATTAAATAAAATTCGTTATAAATTATAATATGCCGAATTTATTCTTCTTCTTCAATATCATGATCTTCACCTTCAATTTCGGTTGCTAGTGTTGAAAAATCAGTATCTGCTAAAGTATTTTGATCTATAAATGTCCAGTCAGGAGCGTTTCGAAGGTATTGAATATGTATTGTAAAATCATCACTATAATGTCGAGTTCTCATTAATTGCGCAGTTTGCAGCGAGAACACATGACGGTCAACCTCTCACAACAAGCCCTCAACTAATAAAATTAAATATCAGAATTAGTTAAAATTTTAACAAAAATTATAAATAAATTTCTAAAAAAGTATTGAACCTCATCTGATCTCCAGCTCAGATTATAAACATTAATTATTCGTATTCCCATTTCTTCTAAATCAGTCACTGAATCTTCGGGGGAATGATAACGATTGTCTCCCAAGATCCTCAATAACTCTTTCTTATCATATTTCGAAACTTTCTTATCGCCTAAATCAAAAAGCGAATTGGCACCTTTAATCCTTCTGGTCTTTTTCTATATTAAAATATCGAATGTTAATCAAAGTTCATTTTTCTTAAAAAAAATCAATTTCAATTATATTTACCTCACTGGTACGATTGTTTTTGTGTAATCGCCAATTATCATGATCTAAAGTACCGTGTTATTTATATAATAACTGAACTCGTCGATGCCTGTGAAGCGAGCTAAGCCAATCTCTGATTTGTTTGTATATTGTTTTGAACCTTTTTAAGGCTTTGACGAAATGCGGTATTACTTGTCATAATATTTCAGTATTTTCTTCACTGCTGAACTTAAGATTGTATCTCATTTTGAGATGGTTCAGCAATGTTTTTAAAATCGTTCTCATTTCAATCTAAATTATAAAAAAAATAAAGCTGATTTAAGTTAATTAGATTGATGTCGGTTATTTTTGATTAAAATTTAGTTAGAATTAAAGTTATTTTAATTAGAATTCAGAAGAGATTTTAAATGAACCCTGGCCGCGTTATTGTTGTAAGACCCCTCTTTATCGCTTTCATCGCTACTGTATCAAGTTCACTTTCCTCAACAATCATCATCTGATTCTTCATCTTTACGTCTTCGTTGGCCTCATCCAAGTTCATCCTGCAAATTCTTATTTTCATGAATAAGCGCTTCGTTATCTCCAATAACTTTGCCAAATTCCATTCTTAAATATCTTAATTCTTCATTTGCATTGCTGAGTTGCCTGCTCAACTTGTCGATTTTTTCACATAAATATGCTTTTTCATAGAAAAGTTAACAATAAATGATTAAAAAATATATATTGGCTAAATTTTAGCAATAAATTACACTTACCTTCGCTCAGCGAAGAATCGGTTGTTTCAGGAGAAGCTTCTCTCCTTCTTAGTTGATAAGGAGTTACACTCCTTTCGTCATGTCTTAATCTGCGATCTCATATATATTGATATGGAGTATATCAAAATTCATTACCTCAAGAAATTTTGAATTGTCGATGATAAGGAGTTATATTCCTTTCACTACTCCTTTCATCGTGATGTCTTTCGTCACCTATTTGCCGATGTGTTGAAGACCTTTTGGTTATCCTCTGACGGAAAGCTGATGATGCCTGCAGATCCCAGTTATCAGCTTTCAGAATGGCATCTCTAATCATACCAGCGGTTGAGGTTTCGCCATGTTGATGTTCGTCTTCGATCCTGTAATTAAGTGAAACATCATAATCTCCACCTAGTTGAGTTGGAGATTGAGATCGAGTTTCTTTGGAAATATTTGATGGTACTAATAATTTGAACGGTTTTTCATTTGCTGGATCCTGCCGACGTGAAGATTTCGGTATTTCCAATTGACTTTTAGTTGCCAGAACCTGCCGACTTGGTGTTTCTTGACTACTTAGATTTAGTGCCAAAACTTATCAATATGGTGTTTCTTAGTTACTAAAAGGCGTTGTTGTCAGAACCTACTGACGTGTTTTTTGATTACTTGGAGGTATCAAAGTTGTTGTCGGAACCTGCCAACATGTTTCTTGATTACTTGAAGGTGTCAAAGTTATTGTCAGAACCTGCTAACGTAAAGTATCTACCATTTCTTAGCTACTATGAGTTTCTGTTACTCCCTGAGTTTTTTGTTAATGTATCACTTCCTGACAGCGTAGTTGTTGATGACGTACTGCTGCAGCCTTTTTTTAACCTATATTTCTAGTCATATTTGCGATGAAATATTATTTGATAAAAGCGAGAAAATGAAAGAGACGAAATATTATTTGTGAAAAAAGTAAGAAAACGATGTATGCGAAAGAGAGACGAAATATTATTTTAGTGAAAGATAAACGAAATATTATTTGTGAGAAGGTGTGAAAATTTTTTTGTCGAAAGAGATTTGAAATGTTGTATGTGATAAAATATTGAAGAGTTTGATTAAAAATAGTTTGAGAGAAATGAACCTTTTTATAAGCTTTCAATTAAATAGAGTTTATTATAATAGTATAATACATTGCATGTAATTCATATAACTTTTGACTTCAAATGTGATTAATTCTTAAAAATTTTGATTACCATGCGATAATTGATTCAAATTTCGATTATAATGCAGTATTCTTTTAAGTTTCACTTATAATGCAATTATTCTTTTAAGTTTCAATATAATGTGCAATAATAATTTTAAATTTTAATTATAATGCGCTAATTGATTCAAATTTCGATTATAATGCGATAATTGATTCAAATTTCGATTTAATGTAATTATTCTTTTAAGTTTCAATGTAATGTGCGATAATAATTTTAAATTTCGATTATAATGCGATAATTCTTAAAAATTTCGATTACTATGCAGTAATTGATTCAAATTTCGATTATAATGCGGTATTCTTTTAAGTTTTGCTTATAATGCAATTATTCTTTTAAGTTTCAATGTAATGTGCAATAATAATTTTAAATTTCGATTACCATACGGTAATTGATTCAAATTTTGATTATAATGCGGTGATACAATTGTAATGTAATCATCATTTTAAGTTTCAGAATATAATGCTTTAAATTTCGATTATCATGCGGTTATTATTTTAAATTTCAATTATAATGCAGGTGTCGATTATTATGCGAATACCAATTTAATTATTATTCCACTGCAGCATCTATATTAATTATTTTATTTTATATATATAAATCGTTCATTGACATTGACAAAAAAAAACAGCAATTTTAAATTTTCAAGATGACAAGAAATAGGTCTATTTCAAATATCATTGATAATAAGCTGACAAAATGACTATCTCGAATAAAAAAATATAACAAGGTTCCTTGTTATTATAACAAGTGTAATGAAAAATTAGTTCTAAATCGTACCAAACATTTTCATGAATCAATAAGTGGTTCATCATCAATTCGTGGTGATTCTGCCATCGAACAATTATTTCTGATTTTGACGAATTGATACTTGATACTGGATCACCTGCCGAAATCGAATTACAGGTTTCGAGGAATGAAATGATTGATAATGAATCACAAGCTTTAAGAATTGAAATGACTGATTGTCATCCTAAATTATCGAATTTACCTCGAAGGTATACAAGAAGGTATATAAGTCATCCACAAGTTACTGATGATTTGAGTGACTCTGAGGATAAGTAACATACCAAGTCTTCTTTAAGCGAAAATAGTGAATATGATAAAAGATGACATATCAAATCTCCTATGAGTGAAGACAAAAGTGTTTTTGATAATTTACTTATTTCTGAAACTTTTGAAGATTATTCGCTGCCAAAATATGAACTATATCAAGATGAAGAAGAGGAAGTAATAATTGATGATTAATTTGCATGGATTTTATTATTGATAATAAACTTTCGAATTAAATTCAACATACCTGAGACTACAACAGATTCTCTAATAAAATTTATGAAATTAGTTCTAACTGAAATCGGTGATGATAAGTTTAACAGATTTCCAAGTACTCTTTATTTAGCAAAGAAATCGCTTGGCTTCAAAGACCGATTTTATAGTTTCATACCTTGTACGAAATGTCATAAACTTTACAACAGAGATGAAGTGATGAACTTTCGACAGAATGATACTTTATCAATTATGACATGCAATCATATTAAATTCCCGAATTCATCAATTTGCAGGTTACAGCCTTGTAATACACAATTAGGTATCATTACTATAACAATAAAAGGATTCTATTGTCTCGTAAAACGGATAATTCAAATTTTTTCAACCAAAATTAATTCATCCATTTGCCAGCATTCGAGAACAACTCGGTGTTATATTTCGTTAACAAGGGTTTGAAAATTATCTATGTTATTGGGCCAATAGAACAAGTTTCGGTAACATATTGGCTGACATATATAATGGACAAGTTTGGAAGACATTTAAAAAAAATGGTTCAGAAATCTCACCAAAATTTTTCAGACCTGATGTAGCTAATTCACATTTAGGCTTAATGTTGAATTTGGATTAGTTTTAACCATTTGACGGAACAATCCATAATACTGGAGTATTATATGCTGCAATTTGTAATCTTCTAAGAGACATTCGATTCAAGCGTGAAAATTTACTAATTCTTGGAATTATTCCTGGCCCGAATGAAGTGAGTTTACACAAAATAAATCATTATTTAGCACCAATTGTTAACGAATTAGAGTTACTTTGGAATGGTGTGAATCTAAATCGAACATATGAATGTCAAGAAGGAAGGAAAATTTGTGCAGTATTAATCCTTGTTTTATGCGATATTCCCGCAGCAAGAAAAATTTGCAGTCATATTTCGGCATTGGTGTCATGTCATAGATGCGAAAAGAAAGCAAATTATGAAAATCGACAACATAATTTTGCTAGAATGATTAACATGAATGAATGGTTTACTCCTGGGATTCGTCACAATATTAAGAGGATGCACTTGGCTGACGAAGGTGCAATTCAGACGCTGACAGAAAGTGATTTGTAAAGCATACTGGCGTTAGATAGTCTGAGTTACTTCGATTACCATACTTTGACCCAATTCATTTTTAACGGTCGACCCAATGCATTGTCTATTTTAGGCATAGCGAAATGGATAGTTAAACGAATTTGGGTCAATGAGAAGGTTTTAACTTTAGATGCTCTTAAAAGTATCCAAAGGAATATGAATCAGATTCAAGTTCCAGCTGATTTTGGTAGAATCCCTCAAAAAATCGACTACAGAGAAGGTTTTTCTAACTTCACAGCAGACCAATGATGAACATTTTATACAATTTATGCAACTACATCACTTTGAGAACATCTATCTGTAATCAACCAAATGATTCTAACACATTATGTTAGAGTTTGTTCGATTCTGGTAGGTTGAATTCTGGAACTCGATTCGGTACAAGAAGCCCACGAAAGGTTGATTAAAATAGTAAAACTTATTGAGAAGCATTACGGGCGTGATAAAATAATACTGAATCTCTACCTTTCACTTCATTTACGAGAATGCTCATACGATTTTAGCCCTTTATACACTTTCTGGTGTTTCTCATTTGAACATATGAATGGGATACTCGGTAATTATAGCTTCTTTTTTTGCCGATTTATATAACGAAATATGCTAGTAAATAATGAAATATGTTAATAATATTTAGGTTCATTACTGAGTAGTTATAGACAAATTGAGCCAGAAATAATGCG